GGCTTCTTTCTCCCAGAAAAATGAATGGCAAGTAATACTTTTCATAGCTCTGCTTATTGAAGAGACCTTTCACATCTCCTTAAGTGTCCTTGAGTGCTGTGTGTGGTTAGTACATAGCTGCTCTTCATCTTCAGATTGTTCCCAAATACCAACCTCACACTACTTCTTTCTCCTCTACCTTGTTGTGTTGGTTTTGACTTATTATTTTATGCACAAATATTTGTGGGATAAGAAAGGCAATATGTCTTCATATTATTCCCAAATAATCCAAACTTTAATTTTTATGACATTAAAAAACAATGCTATGCCAGACTGTGGTGGCACATACCTTTAATCCCAGCACTTGGAAGGCAGAGGCAGGCAGATCTCTGAGTTCCAGGCCAGCCTGGTCTACAAAGTGAGTTCCAAGACAGCCAGGGTTATACAGAGAAACTCTGTCTTGAAAAACCAAAGCAAACAAAGAGACAAACAAACAATAACAACAACAACAAAAACCCAATGCCACAAGACCTATACAAGATTGAGCTCATCAGCATTCCTTCATGGATATATTAGACCCTCCTCTGGGTTTCTTGACAACTAACTGTTGCTGAAGGGGTGATATAGTTATTGGTAAGTTGCCTTTGCTCCAACAAATGACTTCTTATCTATACAAGTAAACTTAAATGAAACTCAGTGGAGAGACACCCCAATATGATTTCCCCAGTTTATGTGTCTACTTACAGGTACAAAGTTTCAGTTACAGACTCAATGGCTTGCCTTTTTACTCTTAAAAAATCTTACTCTGTGTGTGTGTGTGTGTGTGTGTGTGTGTGTGTGAGTGTGTGAATGTGTATGTTGTTTGTATACAGGCATACAAATACGTGCAACAGTGCACGAACACTGAGGACATGTGACCTATCACTTTTTATCTTACTTTCTTGATACAGGGTCTCTCACTGAACCTACAGCTGCACTGGTGGCCAATCAGACCTGCTGGTCCTCTTATCTTTGCTCCAGACAGTGCTGGAATTACAGATGGCCTTGCTGTACTTTTTATATGGGTGTTGGGGATTTAAACTCAATTTGTGCTGGGACAGCAAACACTCTTACCTACTGAGCCATCTCCCACTCTTTTAAAAAACATTTATTTCTAGTTTATGGGTATGGGTATTTTCACCTCTGTGTAACTCTGTGCATCACCTGTGGAGAAGAGGGCATCAGATGTTCTAGAACTGCAGTTACAGGTGGTTGTGAGCCACCATGTGGGGGTGAGGACCAAACCCAGGTTCTCTGCAAGAGCAACAAATGCTCTTAACCACTGAGTAATCTCTCCAGGCCTTCTCTCTCTCTTGTTTTTTATTTTATTTTTTGTTTGTTTTGTTTTGTTTTTTTTTTTTTTTTTGAGACAGGGTTTTTCTATGTGGCCTTGGCTGTACTGGACTCGCTTTATAGACCAGGCCGGCCTCAAATTTTAATTGCTCTGCCTGCCTCTATCTCCCTGAGTGCTGGAATTACAGGTGTGCACCATTGTGCCCAGCTTCTTTTTAATCTCAGTGCTATTCTTGATCAGTTTTGGAAAAATTCAAAATTACTGAAGATATTTTTAAAAAGTTTTTTTTTTATCATTCTGGATTTTATAATTGATGTATCGCTTTGTTTGCCTTAACACATGTGTTCCTAAAGCCATCCTTCTATCCACTCATTTTTGCATTTGAAAACAAGGTGAAGATGTCAGAGTATTTCAACCTGAAGGGCTTCAGTGTATATATCACTGCCTAGAGTTTGTTTATGTTTTTTAAGGTAAGATTTACAAAGAGTAAAATACAAAAATCTTGAATATGCTCTTTTACACTATATCACAGGATAGAATATTACTAGTACTCCAATTATCTCATGCCAGTCCTTTCCTCTCGAGACAACTACTCTTTTAATTTTTATTTATTCCCATTGTGTTTGTTCTGAAATCTCACACAAAGTTTATCATATTGGACATATTATTTTCTTAATAGGACTTCCTTTATTTAACATGTTTCTGAATTCATTCCTATTATTTTGTAGTTTGAGCTCTTGAATGCATGGACAACTGGCTTGTACATTCTCCTGTGTTTCAACACCTGTATTGTTTCCTTTTGGGTGGACTGTTGGGAACGTAAAGCTGCTGAGTACATCTGCATTCAAGTTTCTGTGTGGACAAATGTTTTCTTTCATCTTGGATGAACCCCTAAGAGTAGGATTGCTGGACCATAGAGTAAGTGGGTGTTTTCTTTTATTTTAGATTTTCTAGTAATGATATACAGGCATTCTGTTGTTTTGGGGTTCTGTTTAATGTTTGAGACAGGGTCTCCTGGATAGACTTGGCTGGACGGGACCTCTCTGTATAGCTGAGCTTGGTCTTGAACTTGGCAGCAATCCTTCTGTCTCTGCCTCTTGAGTGCTGGTATTAGGTATGTATTACCATTCCTGTCCTCCGTGGCTCTAATTTAATCTATACTTCCTTGGTTACTGTGATGTGGACCACTTATTCATGTGTTTGTATGTAGTCATATGTCTTTTCCAATGAAGAATCTTCAAATCTTTTGTCTTTTCATTAAACTTTAATCATCTTGTTATTGAGTTGTAACTATTTTTATATATTCTGGATACAAGTCCTTTGTTATATTGCAGACTTTTACTCTCGGACTTAACATGTCTTTGTGATTACTTTTTTGTTAAGATGAATTGTCACTGTGTTGCCCAGCCTGACCTCAAATTCCTGATTGAGCTCAAAACAGTCTTCTGCCTCAGCCCCCTAAGTAGAGGGAATATTGGGCTTAGATTTTGCGTATCTGCTTTTGTTTTTGTTTTGAGACGGGGTCTTACTTTGTAGCCTAGGCTGAACTTGAATTTACTATGTAGTACAAGCTGGAGCCAAACTCCTACCCCTCCCTCACCAAAAGCCTGGATTACAAGCATTTACCACTAAGCTCTGCTTGCTTAAGTTTATGGTTCTCTTTGGAGGAAAGAAGACATTTTTTTTTATTCAAGTTTTTGCTCTGTAGCCAAGGCTGGCCTTGAGCTCATGAATGTCTAGCCTCTGCTTCCTTATTGCTTTTTGATAAAAAATGGTATTAGGTTTGATAAAAATCAGTCCTTTTGTTTTATGGTTATTGTTTTCAGTGTCTTGTCTGCTAACACTTTACATAACTCAGTGGAGTCTTTTGATGAACATATTTTTAAATTTTAAAGCATTTATCTTCTCAGATTTTATTATATAGCTAGAAATTTTTATATTATGAATTATAAAATATTTTAAGGTTTTAAAGGTATGTTGTTTTTTTTTCTCAAAACTTATCTGCTTTACTTTTCACATTTGTATCTCAAAATCATTTGCAACTGAGTTTTGTATGTAAACGGAGGTATGAGTTTTGTATGTAAATGGAGGTATGAGGTATGAGTCTTTTCTTTTTTATTAATTAATTTGTCTATTCAATTTCCATCTTGGTCATAGGCCTCTCCCTCTTCTCCACCTAATTCCACCCTTCCTCTCATATCCCAAGGCCTCCTACCCACCCACCCCAGCTCATCTGTTCACATCAGTTTGTCTTCTTCCCTGTGGGCTGGTAGGGATGTCCCATCAGGGAGAAGTGATGGAAAAGCAGACAACATAGTCTGTGTCAGAGATATCTCCTGCTCCCCTTACTAGTGACCCCACATGAAGACTGAACTGCCCATTAGTTATACATATGTAGAGGACCTATGTCCTCTCCATGGGTGGTCTGTGGTTGGTGCTTCAGTCTCAGCAAGCACCTGTAGGCTCTGGTTAGTTGACTCCGTTGGTCTTCTTGTGGAACTCTTGTCACCTCTAAGTCCTTCTGTCTTTCCCAACTCCTTTCCACTAGACTCCCTATGCTTCACCCAATGTTGGCTGTGAGTCTCAGTATCTGATTCAAACTGTTGCTGGGTGGAGCCCAACAACTTTGGTAGAGTCCTGTCTGCAAGCATAGCAAAATATTTTTAATAGTGATAGGGGTTGGCTTTCTACCATGGGGTAGGTCTTAAGGTTGGGTCATAGGGTTGGCCCTTGCATTGGTTGGACATTCCCTCAATCTCTGCTGTGTCTGTTCTATCTCTGCAAGTTTTGTAGGCAGGGCAAGTTTTGGATTGAGGTCTTTGTACGTGGGTTGGTGTTCTCCTCTGTCCACTAGGAATCTTGTCTAGATAAAAGGTGTTCTCTTCAGTATCCCTGGTCCCTGCTACTAGGAGTCTTAGCTAGAGTCCCCCTCAATATTCCCAGGGCCCTATTCTGAGTTAGGTCTGCTCTATATCTTTTCTTGATTGACCTCACTCTGCTTATCATCCTAAGAAAGAGAACAACTAGGCCTTGAACTGCCCATAATGCCCAATGCTGTTGTGAATAGAGGTGACTCTTGCTAGCCATGCTTACTTTCCCCTCTGAACTTGTCCTCTTTTTCTTCTTCCCACCTTAATTAATTTAGACCCACTCGGGATCTTTGCTGTGTTGGGTATGCATTTGTATATACCATATTGGAAACCCTTAGGGCCTGAAGTACTTTAAGATTCAGAATTTAAATTTTATTTATTTTTATGTGTATGGTTGTTTTGCCTTCATGAATGTCTGATTACAACATGCATGCCTGTGTCAGCAGAGGAGAGAAGAGGACATCATATCCCCTGGAACTGAAGTTACAGAGAGTTGTAAGCTTCCATGTGAGTGCTGGCAATTGAACCCAAGTTCTCACAAAGAGTAGCTAGTGCTCTTAACCACTGAGACATTTCTCTAGTCCCTCAGAATATTTTTAATAAAAATCATTCCTTTATTTGCAATGACCTAGCAAAATGTGTGTGTTAAATTGAATGAGTTACATTTACAAACAGCTTCACATGGATTTAAATGAGAATAGATGTCAACCTTATAAAAGAACTGGGTTTTCAAAGCCTTTTGGATTCTAATTATAGATTATTGATTGACCATGGGCCTTTGCTGCTTATTTATCCACTAATCTGTTTTTGTTTTACAGACTGCATTGAATCAGTTGAATGTTGCCACCGAGGACATGTATACTAATGGGTCCACCGCTCCAGGTAGCCCTGCCCATGCTAAAGGTCAAGAGGCAAGGAAAGTTCGTCTCATACAGTTTGAGAAGATCACAGAGGAGCCCATGGTAATCCCTTTTTCTATTATCATTTACACTGTACTGGTGGAGTCATTGGACCACTCATGGAATTGTACAATTTGCCAGTTTCACTACTGTTTCTTTGTCCCCATCTCAAGCTCCTTTCAAAGCAAGCCTCCTGCTTTTTCTACCTGAGACCCTCCCATGATATAGATGGAAATGGTTTTTCCAGCAAAATTTCCTTAAGATATCCTCAGAAGAGGCTTAAAACAAATTTTACTTTTTCATTGCCTTTATTTCATCCAGGGAATCACTTTGAAGCTGAATGAAAAACAGTCATGTACTGTGGCCAGAATTCTCCATGGTGGCATGATTCATAGACAAGGTACTCTGGCAGGGAGGAGGGGTCCTAAGTCTAATTTTATCCTGGGATTAATTATTTACTCTCTGTTCAGTGGTGTGGGACATGAAGCTTATAGTCCTCAAAACTGATAGCATTTTTGTGAGAGTTCCAAGAGATTCTTTGGCTTAATTAATACTTGACTCTTTAAAGCAGGAGTGGTGGTACACAGCCTAGGAGGCAGAGGCTGGTGGATCTCTGTGAGGCTGACGCCAGCCTAGTCTACAAAGCAAGTTCCAGGATATCCATGGCTACACAGAGAAACTTTGACTTGAAAAACTAAACCAAACAAATAAACAAAACCCTCACCTGACTCTTTAGAAAATTGTATGGTGGCTGGAGAGATGGCTCAGAGGTTAAGAGCACTGCTTGCTCTTCCAGAGATCCTGAGTTCAATTCCCAGCAACCACATGGTGGCTAACGACCATTTATAATGAGATCTGGTGCCCTCTTCTGGTGCTCAGGTGTACATGCAGACAGTACAGTGTACACATAATAAAATAAGTAAATCTAAAAAAAAAAAACTTGAAAAAGAAAATTGTATGATAAGATATTAGTATGAATTACTCAGTACCACTATCACCTTTTTTTTTTTTTCTGCTTAGACCAGGATGACCTGGAAATCACTTTTGTAGACCAGGCTGGCCTCAAACTCATTGAGATCTGCCTGTCTTTGTGTGCCACCACAACTAACTCCTCTGCACCTTTTTATATATACTTTCCTATTTAGTTAAAGAGTGAATCATTAGTGCATGCACCCATTACATATGACTGCTATGTAACAGTAAAGAAAGCTGTATCTCTACCCTTCCGGAGGTAACAGCTTAAATGAGAAAACCAAATTTAAGTAATTACAATTAACTATTGTATTTCCCTAATGTTAGAGTGCTAACAATTTTCAGATGCATTATTTACTAAAATATATGTTAGGGAGCAATGAGAGAACAGAATAATAAATTAAAATGTAACATTTTGAGTGGCTGGTGTTAACCTATAAGGTAATAGAAACTAAAAACTCTTCCTAATATTGGGGTTGTGGTTATTCCAATGAGTCTCCTCCCTTATCACCTCTTACTCTTTTATGTTTAACTATGTTTTTTTTTTAATCCAAGGTAATATGACATGAATTTGGTGGCCATCCTTCACGCAGAATCTGTTTTTTTTTTTTGAAAGAAACTTTCTCTGTGTAGCATTGGTGGTCCTGGACTCACTTTGTAGACCAGGCTGGCCTTGAACTCACAGAGCCTCTATCTCCCAGAGTGTTGGTCTTACAGGTGTGTGCCACCACACCTGACTCTTCACATAGAATTTTGACATTGAGCTGGGTGTGGTGGTGTACACTTTTAATCCCAGTGCTCAGGGACAAGTCCAGTGCATCACGTCTCTCCTTAGAAGTTACCCTAGTGGCTGGGTGCCATAGTACATGCCTGTAAATCCCAGCACTCAGGGAGGCTGGGAGGATCTCTGAGTTTGAGGCCAGCCTAGTCTACAAATAGGGTCCAGGACAGCCAAGGCTACACAGAGAAACCCTGTCTCGACAAACCAAATGATGATGATGATGATGAAGAACAACAACAACAAGAGAAAAGAAAGGAAGAAGAATTTTAACATTGACTAACCATAAGAGCACATTGGAAGTTTAGTTTAACAGTAACTAAGAAATATTGGACTCACTGAATAATGGGGAGTACTGAGGTCTTTCTGTGGGTTTGGTATTGTATATTTAGTATGTACATGTGTCCAAGTCTCCTGGAGTTGGCAGCTATTCTAATTTCAGGAATTCAAGGATGAGCTGCTTTTACAAAGCTCTTAGATGACTGATATCAAGAAGTATTGAACTGCCTAGATGGATTCAGAACCATGTTTGTTTTTATCTCTCCTGGTTGACTATTTCTAATGTCGAGTTTTATTTATGTTATAAAATGTCCTAAGTTGTAATTTTACTTGTGTGGTATTCTTGAGCTATACTAACAGCTCTTGTTTTAATTTTTATTCTTGTGTGCATTACATTTTTTTTTTGTTTGTTTAATGGCAGGCTCCCTTCACGTGGGGGATGAGATCCTAGAAATCAATGGTACAAATGTGACTAATCACTCAGTAGACCAGCTGCAGAAGGCAATGGTGGGTATTTTTTGCACTAGATAAATATTTGTCTTCTGTGTTCTTGAAGAGGTTTATGGACACTGGTATCACTGTATCTCATTTCTCTGCAAAAAAAACATGGTTACCTTATTGAGAGGGCAGGTATCACTTCTGATCATCTGATATTCTGTCCAAGAAATTATATTTCTCTGCTTTCATTTAGTAAAACTGCAAAGCAGGGCCAATAACTGAGAGCATCAATCTCATAAAATAACAAGAATATTGCCCTGGGTATCTGGAGATTGTGCTGTGTATTGGTATTTCTGAATCCATGCTTTACTTTATTCTTGCACTCTGTATGGCTTTGAGCATATGGATTAGCTTCTCTTAGTCTATTATGTGCAGCATTGTGCTTAGTGTTGTGCTGGCTCTCCTGTTTATCCTTCCTGATTCTCTGCCATCTTTCTTGACGTTGTCTTATGCCTCAGCAGGCTGCTGTCTATATCAGTTGGGCTTCAGTGGCTTCAGCAAGCAGTTTTTATGTCCCTACCCTTACTTGTCAAACCTGCTCCTGTACTTACCATTTTCACACAGGGGTAAGCATCCTAAAATGATCCAACAAGGGAGAGAGTTCTTCCTGAGGAGATGTATACCTGTGTGACTCTATCCTTCATGAAACTCTTCAAACTCCTTTTTTTAATATGCTATGTAATTATTACTGGGTTCCCCAGGAATATCATAGCTAGTACCAGGAGTGATGTCAAAAATTGGCCCTTAAAGTAGGCCTCTGACATTGGGCTGCTTGTAAATGAGCATATGCTAAGAAGACAGTTTACTAGGAAAAAGCTACTAATTCTAGGGAAATCTAAATTTTATTTTAAAACATAAACAAATAGGAAACTGGGCAAAGGAAACAAAAAGCTCCTGGACAACCTCTTAAAAATATGCTCAGTTACTACTGCGTAATTCATCATAGTCAGGCAATGGAGTCAGTGGTCCAATGGCCTAAAAATACATGGCATATACACACTATGGAATACTGTTCTCTCCTATACAAGAAGGAAATCCCATTATTTGTTACAACATGGGTGTACCAGGAAGACATTATATAAATAAGCCAGACACAGAGAGATAGTTATCACATGAACTCTTATATATGTAGAATTCACCTGTAGAAGTAAAGAGTGGGATGGTGCTGATCAGGAGATGGAGATGGGCGGGGATCATAGAGAGCTATATAGCTATGAATCATATTCTTGAAAAATGCCGAGATTGCATCTCAAGTATTCTCACAACAAAAACAAGTAGTGATGTAACACATATGTTAATTAACTTTTTAGTCATTATACAATATACACATAATTTGAAAACATTTGTATGTGACAGTTATGTGTATTTTATTCTTCAAATTGCAAAGAAAAGAGAGAGGACAATCAGCTGTAGTTATGGTGACAAAATTACAAAATAAATCATTGAACTGAGTACAGTAGCTGTAATAAAAGCTCTTAGGAGGCCAAGGCAGATTATCACTTGAGTTCCAGGCCATCCAGGGCTACATACTAAGTTACGGGATATACTTCAAAGTGATACCTGGCTCAAAGTAACAAATAAAACCAAAATGAATTAATTTTTTTTAAAAAATAACAATTTAAACCTGTATCTACTTCCAGTTGTGGAAACAAACAAACAAAAAACCATGACTATAAATATTTGTAATGTTCCTACTAGGGTGGAGAAAGGTATGGGTATATTTCAGTTCATTTTAGGAACTTCTAGGGACCTTTTGAGGACCAAGAGCAGAAGAGGAGAAAGTCATGAACATTTGCTTTATTATTTTTGTGTCTTCAGTTATGCTGGTGTGGGAAACACATGGCACTCTCATGGTTCAGGAGGTAATATCTGACCAAATCCTAAACTTCAAAGATGGTTCTATAATGAAAACCTTGATTTCCTAAAATCCTACATCACCCAAGTTATTTTTCTTTACAGTCTCATTTTTATTTTTTTACTAGAAGGAAACCAAAGGGATGATCTCATTAAAAGTAATTCCTAATCAGCAGAGTCGTCTTCCTGCCCTCCAGGTATGTAGTACCATTTTGTTGTTGTTGTTGTTGTGCTGTTTTGTGTTCTTTGAAATGACATGATTCTGTGATAAAAGAGCCCATCATCTTTATTTCTGTCTCTTTTTTTTCTTGTGTCTGTGTGTGCTTGTGTGCTTGTTCATGTGTGTGGAGGACAGAGGACAAAACTGAGTGTCATTCACCTTTGTGTGTTTGTTGGGGGTATGCTTATGAGTATGGATGTGTGTGTATGTGCCCATATGTGTGTATATGAGTGTGGGTACCAGAGATTGATATTAAATGTCTTTTCTTGACTTCGCTTCACCTTTTTTTCCTTTCCTTTTTTTTAAAGATTTATTTATTATTTTATACAACATTCTGCCTGCACACCAGATCTTAACTATAGATGGTCATGAGCTACCATGTGGTTGCTGGGAATTGAACTCAGGACCTTTGGAAGAACAGTGAGTGTTCTTAACTGCTGAGCCATCTCTCCAGTCCTCTTTTCTTTATTATTCTATATATATTTTTGAGGCAGACTCAGGGAACCTGAAATTCACTGATTTGGCTAGAATGGTTGGCCAGTGAGCTTCAAGGATTCACCTGTCTCATCTCCCTGGCCCTCTTCTCCCAGTATGGAAATTACAGACAACACATTGTACCTAGCTTTTTGAGTCAATTCTGGGCATCTGAACTCAGATCCTTATGGTTGTGTGGTAGGCACTTTATCAACTCACCAGTCCCCATCTTTTTTCTTTTTTTGAGACAGAGTTCTACCCCATCCATCCTAGCCTGTCTCTCAGCAATTAGGTTAGGTTAGTTAGCTAGTGAGCCTCAGGGAACATTCTGTCTCTGCCTTTCCAGCTCTGGGTTTATGAGCGTGTGCCACTGGGCTTAGCTTTTTAATGTGAATTCTGAAGATCAAACTCAGTTCCCTCATCCTTGTAAGGCAAGTACTTTACTAACTCAACTGAGCAGTCTCCTCAGCTCTTTGTTCTTTTTTCTTTGAGGAAGAAGACAGTGATGGAAATGATAGAAACAGGTAATCAGTAGCAAAGGAATAGATGGGACAGGACCTTGACAAATAAATGTTCAAAAAGGTTTTGAAAACACCAAACCCTTGCTGGAGAGACAGCTTTGTGGTTAAGAAAACTTGCTTCTCTTTCAGAGGACCTGAGTTTGATTCACTGTACCTACATCATAGTGCCCTATAATGCTAGCTCTAGGGGATCTGATACCTTCTTCTGGCCCCCACAGGCAACTAAACACACATACACATGAGTAAAAACAGAAATAAAAATAAATATTAAAAGAGGAAACCTAAAATTTCTATCATAAGTTACCTGCAGTATGATAGTATAGTTTTATACTTTTAAATTGGGGTTTTGCTGCTTGTATACATACACATAACAAAGTGAATAGATCACAAGTATAAAACTGGTTGAATATTCATGAACTGAGCACATCCTTGTAAACAGCACCCACCTTAAAAGGCAGGATAGGTCCAGCATCTATGACTCTTTATCTCATTTCTTCCAGGCTCCACAATCCTGACTTTTAGCACAAGGGAAGTTTTGCCCCATTTTAAAGTTTAAATAAATTGAACTATATAATAGGAATTCTTTTGCATGTCCTTGCATTCATTCAGTACTATGTTTAAATGCAGGTTACTCGTAGTAATAGATGATTCAGTTTCTCCGATTCATTAGATAAATGTGCTGCAATTACTCATCTATTCTGATATTGATGGACTTTTGGGCATTTCCAGCTATTTTTGTCTGAAGGAAGTGCCATGAACTTTCTTGAGTGTATGTTTTATACCTTTACTTTGGTGGGTAGACTTGATGGGTTTTAAGATACAGGTGATTTTAGAAGGTATTGCTCAGCAGTCCTTGAAAGTAGTTGCTCAAATGTGCTTGTATGACACTTTTATTTATTCTATGTTTTCACCAAAACTTACAATTGCCTAGTTTTGTTTGTTTGGCCATAATCTTGGTGGCATTACACTGTGATTCTCATTTGTATTTCTCTGATAATTTGATAATATTCTTTTTATCACTAACATTTTTTTCCACTTGAATGTATTTTTTGGTAGAGCTTGATTTTTTTTCTTACCACATTCTAGCAGTAACTCACAGTTTCTGAAGCAAAGAGTATTTTGTCAGATGTATCTCAAATATGCTCCTTTTATATTTTTTCATAGTACTATTTAATAAAGAAGATTCTGAATGAGTTCCAAATTACATTTTTTGCTCATATAATTGTTAATTTTTTTTGTTTGCTTGCTACAGGGTCAAAAGGAAACTCTCCTATATTTTCTTCTAAACACATGCAGAATTGAATTGATTTTTATGTAGAATATTGTAAAATAAGAGGTCAGGTGTTCAGTTTTTCCATATGGATATCAGTGGACTCAAAACTATTGAAATAAAATCCTGTTCCTATTATATGCACCATCTCTTTTTATCAGAAGTCATATATGTAGGTATATTCTGTGTAGTTGGTCTATTTATTTACCCTTGAATTAAATCCATATCACTTTGGGCAGCAGAGACATCTTCACAATATTCCAGTAAAAGCAGTAACAGCAGGATCCTTCTCTATTTCTCAGTATTGAAGAGAACTCTTTTAGTATTTCAGTGTGAAGTATTTTGGTTGTAGGGTCTTTTTAAATTTGCTTGATTATTTTAATTATGTGTCTCTGTGTGAGGATATGCAGATGAGTGCAGGTGCTCAGAAAGTCCAGCTCCCTTGGAGCTGGTGTGAGACAACTGATATGGGTTCCTGAAATCACACTCAGTGCAAGGAGCTCTCTTCTGTCCCACATTCATTAAAATTTTAATATTGATTTGGGTGTTAAATTTTATCTTTGTGTATACCTAGTGACAAGATCGTGTGCTTTTTCTCCATTTTTTTAATGTTATGTCACAAACTTTGCTTTGCTGAACTAGATCCTGCTTGATTGTGACTTTTTTCTATTTATTTATCTATCTATTTATCTATCTATCTATCTATCTATCTATCTATTTATTTATTTATTTATTTATGTATTTTTTTATTTATTTATTTATTTATTTATTTATTTATTTATTTATTTATTATACAGCATTCTGTCTGCCTGTAAGCCTGCATGCCAGAAGAGGGCATCAGATCTCACTATAGATAGTTGCTGGGACTTGAACTCAAGACCTCTGGAAAAGCAGCCAGTGCTCTTAACTTCTGAGCCATCTCTCCAGCCCTGATTGTTACTTCTTATCCCCATGATAAATTGCAGTGTTTGCTTTACTAATATTTCATTGTTTATTTTTCTATCCCTGATACTCAGAGAGACTGCAAGATTCTTGTTAGATTTGGGTATTATGGTTATGAGTTGGGAGGTTCTAGAATTTTTTGCTATTTGCATTTGTATGAGAGTAGTCCATTTCTTCATCTGTTTTGAAATTTGACCAAAGAAGAACCTTCAGGTCTTACCAAATGTGTTGATGTAAAATTGTTCATGATACGCTATATTTTGACTGTCAATATATATATATGTACATGTGTATAGAGTTTTGTGTACTCTCAATGACAGAGGAGGACATGCATGTCCTGCTTCCCACTAGCTGTCTTATTCCCTCGAGAAAGGGCCTTACATAGAACCTGAAGCTTAACCATTTCAGCATAATTATCACAATATCCTATTAAAGCCTTTCAAATATCTTTAAGATATTCACTAGTAAACTGGGTTTTGTTGTTGTTGTTTAGGTTTATGGAGACAGGGTCTTACTATATAGTTATGGCTGTTCTGGAACTCACAATGAGTTGGCCTTGAACTCATAGAGACCGCCTGCTGAGATTAAAGGAGTATGTAGGCTAAAATTCTGCTCCTTGTTATTTCTTTCCTTACTTGTTTGAGCCATATTTATACTCCTTAATGTTATTCCACAGGTGACCAGTGTCTGAGTTTGCTTTCTGTTCCTGTGATAAAACATTTTGACTTAAAGCAACCTGGGAGGAGTTTATTTCAGTTTACACCTCCAGATCACAATGTATCCTTAAGGGAAGCTAGGGTAGGAACTCAAAACAGGAATCTGAGGATGGAACATGGAACAGAACCAATGAGGACTGGCTTGCTGTTGGCAAATTTTTAAATCTATTTTATTGGGTTCTTATCCCTCCACCTCCTTTCCAACCCTTATTCCAACCTAACCCCTCCTAATCCCTTAACAATAGGTCGAGGAGAAAGAAGGTTAGAGGTGAAAGGGGCATAGACCTCTATAGGCTACTTCCTGCTGATTATATAATTCCTGGAGTTCCTTGACAACAAGTTGAATCTTCCTTGGCAGAATCTCCAGCAGTTCAGCAAAGCAGCAACCGAACAATAGCAAACAGCAGCAGGGCGAATCAGCAACAGCAGGGGCAGCAGCATGGAGAGCAGCAGCCACCACAGACCCTCTCCATGCTCTCCCATTCATACCCTCTCCAGAGTCCCCAGAATTAAACTATCTGCAGCCAGCAAAGATCAAGCCCTGGCTAGTGAGATCAAGCCCTGGCTAGTGCACAAGGCAAATCACAATCACCTACTGTGAAGCAGCCTCTTATTTTTAACCTGGGATTAAAACAAAAACAGATTCACGTAGGTTTTTAAAGAAACCAAAATGCTCATTACAGCTTGCTCTCTTTGCTTTCTTCTAACTTTCTTATACAACCTAGATCCTTCTGTATAGGAATCATGCTCTCTATAGTGCACTGTTTCTCTCAATAGCTATAGGTTGTGTCAGGTTGACAATAAAAACTAACCAAGAAAATCAGTATTAAATTCTGGTTATAATTTTTTTCTAACCATCTTTTCCTATGATAAACATTTCTTTTTTTCTTTTTTAAAACTTATTTTTTTGTTTTGTTTTTTTTTCAAATTTTATTTATATACTTATTTGTTACAATTTATTCACTTTTTATCTCTGCTGCAGCCCCCTCCCTTGTCTCCTCTCAGTCCCACCCACTGTCCCTCTCCTTCCCCTATGCCCTTTCCCTAGTCCCCTGATAGGGGAGGTCCTCCTCCCCTTCTATCTGACCCTAGCCTATCAGGTCTCATCAAGGCTGGCTGTATCATCTTCCTCTGTGGCCTACCAAGGCTGCACCCCCCTCCCCCACGAGGGGGAGGTGATCAAAGAGCCGGCACTGAGTTCATGTCAGAGACAGTCCCTGTACCACTTACTATGGAACCCACTTGGGAACTGAGCATCCAATGGGCTTCCATTGAACAGGGGTCTAGGTCCTCTCCATGCATGGTCCTTAGTTGGAGTATTAGTCTCTGCAGGCCCCCCTGGGCCCAGGTGTTTTGGCTCTGTTGTTCTCCTTGTGGAGTTCCTGTCCCCTCCAGGTCTTTCTATCCCCTCTTTTTCCATAAGGATTCCGACACTCTGCCCAAAGTTTGGCTATGAGTCTTAATATCTCCTTCGATATCCAAAAGATGCTAAACCATAAAACAGAGACATTTGCTCAACTATGTTCATAACAGTGTTATTCATAATAACCAGAATTTGGAAACAACCTAGTTGTTCCTCAACTGGAGAATGGATACAGAAAGTGTGGTACATTTACACAATGGAATGCTACTCAGCAATTAAAAGCAAGGAAATTATGAAATTTGCAGGCAAATGGTGGGAACTAGAAAAGATCATCCTGAGTGAGGTAACCCAGAAACAAAAAGGCACAAATGAAATATACTTACTTGTAAGTGGATATTAGCCATATAATATAGGGTAAACATACTAAAATCTATAGTCCTAAAGAAGCTAAACAACAAGGAGGTCCCTAGGGAAGATGCTTAATCCTCATTCAGAAGGGTAAGCAGGATAGACGTTGAAAGTAGGTGAAGACAAAGAATAGAACAGGAGCCTTTCACAGCGGATCTCTGAAAGACTCTACTCATCAGGATATCAAAGGCGATACTGAGACTCATAGATAAACATTTCTTTTTAATTTTGATCATTCTAGTTATTATTTTGTTTAATGTTCTTATTTCATCTAATGTCAGCAGGATTGCCAAGGGCATTAGATATTATTCTACAAATTGGGATTTTTCTGTTACATGGTAATATACTCAGCAAATGCTTAACCATTTAACATGGATAAATAAGAATGTCTTAGGAAATCAAATTATTTTTAATACTTCACTCTTATAAACAATGCTGTGATAAACATGCTTATCTTGTTAGGTATGTTTTTATATAAAATAAATGTAAAGTTTGATAGAAGGTAGGACAAAGAATGCCAGCATTTGAAGATAATGGACATATTCATATTGCTAGAGTGTCCTCTCGAGAAAGATTTATCAAGTTTACATATTTGTGAGAGTATCTTGTCAAGGAAACAGATCCATTTCAGATGGATGGTAGCAACTGTCTGCCCTGAGATGGACAACTCAGAAATATGGAAACATGTTGACCCAGATAGTCATTTCATGGGAAATGCTGCCTTGTTAAAAGGATTAGTTTTGATTCTTCTGAAAACATGACAGTAAGTAGTTAAAAATGCATGAACATTCCAGTTACACATGTTTGGGTGCTACCCTAACCATTCTTGCCTCACTCTTGCTCATCTCCCATTTCCTTACAGTGGGACTTTTATGTACATGCTCTAGTGCTAGTCTTTTCCCTGAGATCCTCTCTCTGCCTTCTTTTACAGATGTTCATGCGGGCACAGTTTGACTACGATCCCAAAAAGGACAATCTTATTCCTTGCAAGGAGGCAGGACTGAAGTTTGTTACTGGAGACATTATCCAGATCATCAACAAAGATGACAGCAATTGGTGGCAGGGGCGGGTAGAGGGCTCCTCCAAAGAGTCTGCAGGATTGATCCCTTCTCCTGAGCTGCAGGAATGGTGAGCCACATTTGTGCTAGCAGAAAACCCCACAGTAGCTAATTGCTTAGCTTCAGAAATCCACTGTCTTGTGAATGTTTTCTATGTCTCCAAAATATATGTTCTTTTAAATAATAGATGAGAAAGGGTCCACAGGAGTGTATATGGTTCATTGAAAGGCCATTTGTCTCAAGAAATGAAACTTATTGGCCTGCAGTTACAGAGCCCTCCTCCCTGCTTCCTGTATTCCTTCAGCCACTCAGTACTGTTTCTAAGAAAACTTCTGAAAACAGTCATATTTTAAGTATATGTCTTTTATGCAGATTCTTGTCATTCAGTCAGATTGCACACTTACTGCAAAGCTGTCACACATGACCCTTAGAGTGGTAGAAAACCAATATCCATTGATGACCTTCTGCCTGTGGAAAATAATATCACAACCTCAAAGAGTGTTGATTCCTGTCCCAGACCTAATTATTTCTTTTTTTGAGATTCTAATATAATTACATCATCTCTCCCTTTCCTTTCTTCCTTCCAAACCTCTCACGTATCCTTCTTTGTTCTCTTTAAAATCTATGGCCTCTTTTTCTGTTAACTATTGAATACGCGCGCGCGCACACACACACACACACACACACACACACACACACACACTCCTAATATACATATTCCTGAATATATAAGTGCAACCTGCTCAGTTATCCAGCCAATATCAAATGGTTAGCCCTGTAAACATACATACAGACCTTTAGTTTGAAGCCAGAGTTCTGGCTTCAAGTATTTCCAAGTACTGCAAATAGCACCAAACCACAGGAAGTGTTTTGTATAAATAAACGTTTAATGTTAGAACAACAGAGGAAATACAGTGCAGACCTGAAAGATGTTGGTCAAAACCTTGAGCATGTTGTCTCTACTTTCTGGGTCATTTTCAGAGCTAACAATTAGTGAACACTGTAAGAGCAGAAAAGACAGATAGCTGAGAAAGACTCAGGAGAGCACAAAGTGAAATTGTAGCTCATGACTCATTAATGAGACATGAACTGAATTTAGTAGACTGCAACAAGTATTTTTTTAAGTGAGTCAGGTATTGTGGCTCAGGCCTGTAATTCAGAGTGCTCAGAAGGCTGAGGCAGGTTCAAGGCTACCTGGGCTACATAGTAAGACTCTGTCTCAAAACAAAAGATGATATATAGAAACATCAGCATAGATTACACAGTAATAGGTGGTATTGTTACTGAAGCTATTGCTTTAGTCATGTACCTGGTTATGTGTGCATGCTTGTGATTTATTTATAGATTATGGTTGTTGTGATAATATTTTTCTTATGGTAAAGTGAATGTCAGCCCCATTTTCCAGGTCTCAAGTTAAAGGTGGAATAATAAGGGGAGGGAGGGTGGGATCAGCAGGGGAGGAGGGAGGGGCTTATGGGGGGATACAAAATGAATAAAGTGTAATTAATAAAAAAAAAAAGGTGGAATAATAGTCAGACTCTACTAAGGGGAGGAAATTATGTTTTCCTCCAGAAAACATTTCTACTGCCAGGTGCCTGGGTGATCACATACATTTGTAAGGAAGAAAGGAAAGGAAATGGGTAAGGGCATCTCTGCCTAAAGAATTTTACAGAGTCAGTAAGTAGGTCAGTCTCAAAACTTAACTACAGAAAAGAAAGGAGGTAGCCTAGTCTGTCACCAGTTTTTACACGGAGGACCTACTGAGTTTTGGTCATCTGTTCCTCACAGGAGAGTGGCCACTGTGGCTCAGTCTGCTCCAAGTGAAGCTCCTAGTTGCAGTCCCTTTGGGAAGAAGAAGAAGTATAAAGACAAGTATCTAGCTAAGCACAGTTCAAGTAAGTTTTCTGTGTCCCCTTCCCCCAGGGTCCCAGTAGCATTGTGTTTCTGCACCTCTTTAATCAGAAGGAAAGAGGTGAGGATGTAGTGTGCAGTAGGATGTATATACAGTATGCCATTTCTTTTGGTTTCCCTTTACTTGTTTTATCTTCATAAACTCACGACAGTTAGAGAGACAAGGCCAGCGCATGTTCAGAAAGGCCAGTGCTCTGTCCATATCTACTCAGCACCTTACCTCTCAGGTAACTAACTGATCAAGTCTTCCAGACTCTTCTCCATACTTAACTTTATTCTATTCATCACCAACTTCAGTATCTACAGAGGACTGGTTCTAGCACCCTGTGGTTATCAAAGTCTACAGATGTTCAACGCTCTCAAATAAAAGGGTGAAGAATTTCTATAGGACTTATTTCTATCTTTCTGTGCATTTTAAAATCATCTTGAAAGCTGGACTGGATATGGTGAACATACACCTTTAATCCCAGCACTCGGAGGCAGAGACAGGTATTTCTTTGAGTTCAAGTCCAACCAGGCTTACTTAACAAATTTTTAGCAAATGCAGAACTGTATAGTGAGACTCTGACTCAAAAAGAACATTGTGATTTTCTGACAATGAAAATACTATATAAATAGTTGTACTATATTGTTTAGGGAATAATGAAAAAGAAAGTCTGTACACGTTCAATACAGATGCAAAATTTTTCAAACATTTCAATTTGTGGATGATTAAATCTGAGGATACAGGGCTCATGAATATGGAGGACTGAATATATATATATATATATATATATATATATATATATATATATATATATTTAAGTGGGTTGCTGCTAGTAAATGAATATAAATCTACCACTTATTCAGTGTTTCCATCCTGTTGGGAGCATTCAAGATGGTGACAAGTGCATGATCAAATCAAAGAACCTGAAGTTGCCTTGGCCAAGGCATCTGCGAAGGAGTAGAAGAGTGTGTTCCTAAAAGCCTTTTCCATATTGAATATTTGGGTCAATATTGGCTCTGTTCCCTAAAATAAGGGATGTCTGAAGGGCTACCATGATGATGTTGATGTTATTGAGTTCTAAGTGCCTATGAGACAGCCAGGTTCCATGTTGTAAAGAGCTGGAATCTATACTGGTGATAGAGAACGATGAAGCTGCTGAGACTGCAACAGACTGAAAAGGTCAGGTTAGAGCAGTACAGAGGAAAACATAGGTTTATTTTAAAAACATATAAAATACCAGAGTCCTAAGAACTGGCCAAAAGAGCCATGTGAAGAGCAATGGAGGATTCTGGGAAAATCAAATCTAGGACTAAAAGGAGCACATGCATCTGTAATACAGAATGAGCTTGCTTTCAATCCTGTTCTGTTTATCAGCACTTTCACTAGCTGCTGCAGGCATTGTGCTAGCATATTCAATTAGCAATGTATTTTTCATTCCTTGGTAAGTTTGACTTAATTTGATTTTTTTTTTTCATAACATATAGACAGCAAGGCGTGGAATTGAGTTTTTTGTTTTTGTTTTGTTTTTTTTTTTGGTGTGTGTGTGTGTGTGGCTGAGTCTCACTGCTTAAATTCAAATTCTAGCACCTGCAGTTTGTTTCTTACCCAACATTCTACATACTTCATTTCAAAATCTAAATGGGGTCATGTTAGTCCTTTCCTCAGAATTCTCATAGAAAGTACTTTCTGCTTTGCTTTATTATGTATTATACTTCATCATCACATAGAAATTTCTGACATCCCTCCTGGCAATTGCCCCTAATTTCATGCCCACAGTCTCTCTCTCTCTCTGCATTTTGTTTTCTTTTTAAAGACAGGGCCCCAGTGCTAGGAAAGCAGGCCTGCTCCACCACACCCAACTTTCTCCCCTTGCTAGATCAAATGTCAGCTCCTTAATCTCAGCCAGTGCTTTTTCACTCCACCCCTGAAAATTAATAAATGGTTTGATTTTTTCTTTGCCTGTAGTTTTTGACCAGTTGGACGTTGTTTCCTATGAGGAAGTTGTTCGGCTCCCTGCATTCAAGAGGAAGACACTGGTGTTGATTGGTATCTTTTCACTGCCCCTCATCCTTTACTAATGTGCCTAAAATGGAGTGTGGTCTCTTAGATACTTTATACTTCATGTAGTTTAGTTATAAAGAACTATGGATTCTACAAGTAATCTATCTGGATCCACTTCACATTATAAGTTTTTCTACTACTTAGCACCTAATTCTTTTAGATTAGGTTTCCTCTTTGTCTATCTTTGTGTGACTATCTTATAAAATAAATAGAAAACTCCACAGTACCTTATTCTGTGGAAATAGCAATCATGTTCTACATCTTAACTCACGCCTTAGAAAGACTTCTCAACCAAATGGATATGAAAGAATTGAAGCTATCTGGTGGCCTCCAATCTTCTTGATAGTTCTAAGAACTTAGTTGCAGCCTGGAAACAGCACCAAACTGTTTTTTATCTACTAGCCACTTTGAGCATTGGGATACAGAAATCCATCTCTCCCATTCCCTGTCTTGTGCCCACCAGTGTCTCTGGGAGAATGTAATGGAAGCCTTTCTTTTTTTTCTCACACAGGAGCCAGTGGGGTGGGTCGCAGCCATATTAAGAATGCTCTGCTCAGTCAGAATCCAGAGAAATTTGTGTACCCTGCCCCATGTAAGTATTTCTTTGGGTGCCTTGGAGGGAAAAATTATGCCTAAAAAAACAGGCAGAAATGTCATGTTACAAAATTTAGCATCAGTGTTTTTCTAAAATGTTATATGGTCTTGTTCTTGTTGTTTTATTTTAGATGTTTAGTTAATGAAAACTGAAAATTTGTGGGGCTGGGGAGATAGTTCTTGGAAAGTATGAGGTCCTGATTTCAATCTTTGGAATCCACATTGAAAAGCCTGGCATGGTGGTATGCACTTTTAATCCCATGGAAGTAGAGACAGAAAATCCATACCCTTTTTGGTATGTTCAAGGCCAATGACAAGATCCTACCTAAAAAAAAGAAAGAAATTAAAGATGTATACAGCACCTGAGGAACGCCATCCCAAGTCTGTCCTCTATACATGAACATATGCACCTATTCTCACACACACACACACACACACACACACACACACACACACACACACCCACACCACTAAAAATTTGGAAACTGGCAAGATGGCTGCTAACCCTGACAACATGAGTTTAATCCCTAAAACCCACATGGTAATAGAGAACTGACTCCCACATGCACATCATGGCATACACACACACACACATACACACCATGCCAGCCTGCTGTGGAAGGTAAAGGGGATGTCTCATCAGAGGATAAAAAGAAGAGGTTGGGAATATACAATTTATGTGTGCACTAGATTGTTACTCTTAACATTTTAATTTTTGTTTGTTTTTTAGAGACAGGGTTTCTCTGTGTAGCCTTGGTTGTCCTGGACTCAAGACCAGGCTGGTCTCCAACTCACAGCGATCCACCTGCCTCTAACTCCCTGAGTGCTGGGATTAAAGGCATGCACCACCACACCCAGCTAACATCTTAATTTTTAAAATAATTATTACCTTTACTCTGTGTGTGTGCTCGGAGGAGGGGGCGGTGCACACGCACACACATGCTTATATCACAGCGTGTGTATGGAGGTCAGAGGACAATTTATAAGGAGTCAGTTAGTGGTTCCAGGAGTTGAACTCAGGTCATAAGCCTTCTGTGGCAAGTACTTTTACCTGCTGAAAAAAAATGCCAGCCCCAATATTTTAACTTTCTAACAAAATGTTTAAACCAAACCATTGTGTTCTTTCCATGTCATAAAAAAGAAACAATGCTTGAGAGATGACTTTGTGGTTGAATGCTTGCTTGCTGTTCTTGCAAACCAGAGTTTGCTTCCCAGCACCCACATTAGGCAGCTCACAAACACCTGCACCTCCAGATGCAGTCTTCTGGCTTCCATGGGCAGAATGCACATGCATATGAACGCATACATTATTTAGGAAAACATTTCCAGAAAATTTCTACCAGAACCCATAGATCTATTATTAAAACATTTTTAGTTGTCATTTCTGAGTTTCAGTAGTCCTGGGTTTGTTGGTTTTATGTGTGGAGAATGGTGTGAATATTCTACACGGGCTGCCTCTTTGAAATTGAGATGTATTCTGGGTAGGTGAGGTATTTTCTGGTGTACTACCTCAGTTCATGGGAAGAACATCTGTATTATATTCTCTGCCCCAAAGATGGGTAGGATTTCCATTCAGACATTTTGGGCCAAGCCATTAAGAGATGGCAAGGACCAAGAGCTCGTCAAGGACTTGAGTCCTTGTACACAGATACAACACGGCCACCAAGGAAGAATGAAGAAGATGGAAAGGACTATCACTTCATCTCAACAGAGGAGATGACAAAGAACATCTCTGCCAATGAGTTCTTGGAGTTTGGAAGCTATCAGGGCAACATGTTCGGTACCAAATTTGAAACAGTGCACCAGATTCATAAGCAGGACAAGATTGCCATCCTTGACATTGAGCCCCAGGTGGGTAGGCATACAAAGGTAGGAGTGACGGTTTCAGCCATGTAATGGGGGAAAGAGCAGAGCTCCTGGAAACCTGGGAGCTCAGGTTTGTTTTCTAAAGTTTTAATAGGATCAGCCTGATGCAAGAACAGTAATACTTCGAATAATACAAAGTGGTATTGTGACTGGGGACATTTATTAGAATACATTCTGACAGACAACTCCCCCCACCCCCTTTTCTCCCTTTCCCTTTTCCTAGACCCTGAAGATTGTTCGGACAGCTGAGCTTTCACCTTTCATTGTGTTCATTGCACCTACTGACCAGGGAACGCAGGTGGGAAAGGGGTCGCAGGTGGAGGTTCATGCCTTTTGGGTCTTTGTCAACTGTTTCCTACAAAACCAAGAAGAAAAGGGGCATGCATATTTTATTCATTCAAGAAATTGTTATTCAGCTGGGTGTGGTGGCACATGCCTTTAATGCCACAATTTAGGGAGGCAGAGGAAGGTGGATCTGTGAGTTCTGAGGCCAGCCTGATCTACAAAGTGAGTCCAGGATAGCCAGGCTACATAGAGAAACCTTATCTCAAAAAACCAGTAAGATAGTTATTAAACAAGTCAAGTCTAGTCATTGTCCTGAATGATATAGACCTAATGGCTATGATCGAATAAATCCTGATTCTGATGTGACATGGATTCATGTGGAGCAAGCAGAGGGCACTGTGAAGGATAGAGGTCGCACTAGATCCGCTATGGGGTGGCAGTGTCGATATAGCAGGAAAGGAACCTGCTTGTGAGAGTGGTTGTTTCCTTAAAAAAAAAAAAAACAAAAAAAAAACAAAAAAAAACCTGCCTAACATTTTAAAAGAATGGTATTTCGTCACAATCCCAGCACTTGAGAGGTGAAAGAAAGATCAGGAGGTCAAGGCCAGTTGCAAAATACCAAAACAGATTGAGGTCAAAGCCAATCAAGGAATTTAGTGACTTCCACTCATAAATTCACATTGCTTGTGTGTGAATAATCTGGCCATGTCCTTACCACGTTTTCATTGAGTTAGTGGCTTCATGCATTTCTAAAAATTTTGTATTAGGGTACTTCATTGTGATAACCAGGAATACACACAGACTGTGGCATTAACTATTCTTTTTTGCTTTCATGTAGTTAACTGATCATTGGAGAAGCCTGTCTAGGTATCTGTTGTTCTTTCAGAGGGCTCTATGAGGGTTAGTTTGGGATTCTTTAGTACAGTGGTTCTCAACCTGTGGATCACGGTTCCCTTGGCAGCCCTCTATCTCCAAAAACACTTATGATTCATAACGGTAACAAAAATATAATTATGAAGTAGCACTGAAAATTTTAAGGTTGTAGGCCACAAAATGAATAACTGTATTAAAAGGTCACAGCACTTGGAAGGTTGATCACCCTTGCAGTAGTATGTAGTGTTCCTAATTGGTTATCCATGAAGCAATGACTGTCTTCAGTTAAGGTGAGGGCCTGCCTAGTAAATACCAGGCCACAGGATGCTTCACCAACATGGAAAAAAAGATACGGAGCCAGTTCATGTAACCAATACTGTTTAAAATCTTCCATTGGGGCTGCTGCTTCATCTTTGGCTCTCTTTTTTACAGACTGAAGCCCTGCAGCAGCTGCAGAAGGACTCTGAGGCCATCCGTAGTCAATATGCTCACTACTTTGACCTCTCTCTGGTGAATAATAGTGTTGACGAAACGCTTAAGAAATTGCAAGAAGCCTTCGACCAGGCTTGCAGTTCTCCACAGTGGGTGCCTGTCTCCTGGGTTTACTAAGCTTACAAAATTGATCAACCTGTTCCAGACGACAACCCCCCAAAGATCTGGAATGCCATGCCCCTTGCTTAAGCCAAAAGAGTTGCTTCAACTTCTATCTCTCTGCAACTGTCCTAGGTATGCCAGTAGGATTCAAGTCTTCTCACTCAGGCTCCTTAAAGGGCTGAAGTTTAATGTTCCTATTATAGATTTCAAAATGACCTCTGAAAATTAGCACTACGTACTATCCAAATGCAACTACTGCAGAGAAAAAGAAACTGTCCTGACCCCTCTGAAGCCTGAGCATCTTTACTTTCAACTATACAGAGTATCTTTTGTCTTTTTACTCTGGAATAAGTATCTTCTGAAACTTTCTACAATGCCAAAATCAAACAGCTGTGCAATAGAACCTCTGCTGTAGGGAAACCTTCCAAAGCAATAAAAAACGCTGCTGTGTTAGATGCTGGTGCCCTTGTAACTCCATTTCCACCTGTACCACAATCTCCTAAAAAGCCAAGTGTTATCTTAAATTTCAGACAATGGCATCAACACAAGATGCTTCTTTGGTATGAACATACAGTCAAGGTTCTTTACAACAGTGTACTTGGAAAACCTGTCACTGCTACTACAGATTTCTCTAAAAGGCTGGTGTTCACAGAGCATAAAGTTGTCTTCTCTAGATAGAAGCCACTGTGGGCTTCCTGTTAAGTCATACTTGACTAGATGAAAACACATCTTACAGAAGCTGGGATAGGGCAATCCATACTCACCTACGTTGTATCACAAAACTTCCGTTATAACTTCTGCCTGTATTCTTCGCTTTGGGCACACATTTAAGCGATCCTGTACTCTTTTTTACTATGCCACAAGAACAAATCCTTCAACTTTGTAACACCCCCACCACCTTTCTCTCTGCTCATCCTGCACTCAATACCAAAACTGGCAGTTTCCTACCAGGTATACCTCCAACCTTGACAAGTTCCCAAACCCACCTGACCCCCCAGCACATTCTACACACATCTACCTTTCCTCTCTGTTCTGGAAAACACTTAATTAGTAATGTTCCCCCTGAGAGCAGTTTACAGGCCCCAATGCCAATGTAAGACACAGGATTAAGAAATTTTAAAGTAGCCAAAGAAAAAGCAAATTCCAAATAGGATTACCAATGATTCCCCAGATTTTTAATAAAATATTTTCACTTTTGCTCTGCCAGTCCAAGATTATCAATTAGTAAACTTAACAGGAATACTTTTTAAAAGCTACAAATTAACATTCTCCCAGCAATGAACAATTCCATTATTCTTTGAAAATAAACATTAAAACAGGAGAGTATAGGAATGCTTTGGCTTCCACACACAAAACATAAGTAGCCAGATAAAGTTGCATAAATCCTGTTGTACACAACAATGCATGGAGTCGTAGCCTCAATACCAGGTACTCCCAGGGCAGCAGGATCCATACTTGATACCAGAATAGAGCACATATCACACTGGAGATAAGATTTCCCCAGTGAATGTGGTTCAATTACATTATTTTTACTCATATAATGTTCATACCATTTTATTTAGCAGATTTAATTTTTAAAAACCATTTTAAAAAAAGTAAATTAGAGAGCCATCCATGGCATTGTTTAAAATGGCCGTAAGGAAACAGATGCAGACGGCTACTAGGCAGTGCCATATCTAAAGGTACAGCTTCCTCACTAAAGCAAGCAGAGGGATTGGTGGCAAGAATCTGCTTTCATCTGTCATATCCTTAAAACAGGACAGGAAAGAATGAGATAGCCACCACCAGCTACTCACTGAGGTCACAAGTGGCAGCTAAAGTATACCAGAACTCTCTACCTCTGTTTGGGACCTCTGTTCTACTCCCTAAGCAATATTTTCTTGATAATGCTTTCATTTCTCCTCCTAGATGGACAGAATCCTTTAAGAAGTGACTTTTACTATTCAGACAGCTCTTGCACCACTTTTCCTTTCTTTTTTTCCTTCTTCTTTTTGGTGGTGTCACTGTCCTAAAAAAAAAAAAAAAAAGAAAAAAGAAAAAAAGAAAGTGTAAAGTACCTCCCGACAAAACATTTTTGACAAAAGAAATCTGGCAAATTGTACAGTCTGTTCAAAATCTCTTAGGACATTTGGGATCAAACAAATTTTGCCTGTGACCTTCTCAGTGAAGTCCTAGAAGTCTACTTATATAATTTTACCCATCAGCAACATAATTCAACCATGATCCATTTTAAAATTGTGGGTGTCCCTACTTAATCTGTCCAAAGGGGTGGACAGGGCAAATCCAGAACACAGGGCAGCACCATAAGAGGCAATGGCAGAGGAAACCCCATTTTTGCAGAATCACTATCAAGGCCTAAGCCAGCACAAAGGCACACATAGTTTACACATACCCCATCTCCAGCCTTGGCCCCACTTTCTAGTATAGTTTTGGACTTCTTATCCTTCTTTTTTTTCTTCATCTGAGGAACTGCTGGGGGGATCTCATCACTTTCACTCTCCCGCCTCCTCTGAGATAAAAAAAATAATAACAGTTCATGAAAAGTTAGAAATGTGGGAAGTTATCAAGTAAGATCCAAGTAAACCCAAAAGTTTTGTGCCTATAAACTTGAATAGTGAATGATTTATTAAATATTTGAAGATGGTATCTTACTAAATAAAAGTATAGTAAGCCATGAGTCATGCATTATGGATGTGCCAAAACAGCTTGGGGTATAGAAGACCCTGAGAAACTGTCTCAGTGAACCAACTCCAAGACCTGCTAGTGCTCCCTTAGGTGCTCAAATAAAAAAGGCAAAACAAAAATTCACATTTGACAAATCCACAAGTTCTACCCACACAGCTTATTACCAATAACTCAGGATTTTAACTGCAGACATAACATATGGGGCTCTAATGACAGTGGCCCCAACCTCGAGACAATGTTTCTCTGCATAGAAGCCTTGGCTGTCTTGGAATTCTCTTTGTAAACAAGGCTGGTCCTGAACTCAGAGATTCCCCCTACCTCTGCCTCTCATCTGGATTAAGGCCATGCGTCACCCCACCCCCACCTCTCATCCCCATCCAAGGTTAACACTGAACCCAATAGCATTAAGTATGAGACAATATTTGTGTATAGACCACAGCATGGATAAGCCTACCTTACTAGCCAGAACATGTGACTGGACTACCTTGTTAAACACACTGGTCTATCTTGGAATTATCTCTTGAAGCACATTTTTTTTCTTTGTCTTTCTTTCTATTTGTTTTGAAACAGGGTTTCTCTGTATAGCCTTGGCTGTCCTCAAACTCACAGAGATGCCCCTGCCTCTGCCTCCTGAGTACTGGGATTAAAGACACTACCACAACTCAGCTTGAAACACATTTCAAACAGATCACACCACTCACTTTTGTGACTTTTACTGCGTCAGCATCTAATTGAGGGGCTTGTACTTCTTTAGCAACCAGTGCTTTCTTGCCAGAATCGCTGAAAGACAAAGAGGTAATATGAGGTTAAATTCACAGAAGAGCTCCCCATAGTGGTACTGTCACAATCAAGTCATGTCCCTTGTTATTCAACTATATGAGGCAACCCTAAAGCCTCCATGAAATACTGATACTGGACAGAAGAACTTACCAGCTGTTTTCGCATAATAGTGATGGTCCATAGTCCATGCTCTGACTAGTAGATAAGCTCAGGCTTGTACAATAGTAATAACTACCTAGGGTCCAGGTCTCAAGGAGCCAACCAAAGAAAGAAAACTGAGCTGCAGCACTAGGGCCTACCTGTAGCCTAGCATTTAGCAGTTACCCCAGATAAAACTTTGGCTATGCAGTCTCCTGTCCTCACTTGTTATCAATGGCCGAACGGTTAAGTGTACTGCATTGCCCAGTCTCCCCAAAACCCCATCCTTACTACCCAGCCTCAGATCCAAGGCTTTTGAGTTGGCCCACCCCAACAACTACCCCATCAATGAATTGCTGGGGCACGTGAAGCGTCATAAGGGCTGAGGGTGGAATAGGAAGGGACAGGGAGACAAGTGGGACTGGAGTACTTGATGTAAAACTCACAAAGAATCTAAATAAAAAGTTGGAAAAAAAAGACAACTGAATAATTACCAAAACCCATATTTACCTATAGTCAATATAATCCTGTTTCCAGGTAGCAGGGGTATTGTCTGTGGGTTTGCCATGCTTGTCCAGAAGGCCCTGCTTGATCATCAACTTCTTCTGACTGGCCTGGAAGCATTTCAAACATTAAACTACTCTTAGCACAGGAAGTAGCCATTATGATTACACACCAAGGCTTAGACCTAGTCTGCATAGCCTAGTTTTTTATGTATTTTCAGCAGGGTTTCATGCCCCTTAAAATACTGTCCTGAATCCTTCCCTCTCCTCTTATTGTCATCAATATCTAACCTATTCTTCACAATAGCTTAAATGAAAAGTCCCTGAATCCATGATGGGGTCAAAACTTTCACTGTGGATACTCCAGGAACCAAAAGACCTCTCCAAATACTTGATAGTCATAGTTCACCAACCCAGTGTTATTATTTAAGTAATGCCCTACTGTTTCCTTCAACTAGACCGAGAATCTCTGAAGTCAACACAAATATTATGCAGCAAGGGCTACAACCTAGTATCACTGACCTTCGGACCTAAACCCCACTTGCGAGGATACGTGTCTCTTTCCATGATCACCCTCTTTATCTTGGCTACTATACCATGGTCACAGGTAGAAATCACTGCTGTAGTCATCAATGCAACAGCTGCAGGTATTAGAAAGAGAAAAAAAGAGAATGTTTTGGTAATAGATGAGTTCTACTGTTTTATGCCTTTTTAGAACCCTGGGCTTTCCTTTGCACGTGCACTCTAGAAGCATCTGAAGTAATGTTAAATTTACCAAATTAAAAAACAATAAAAGTAACTGAAGAAACATAGAACAAGACATGCACCTCTGATGCAGGAATGATGTATAAACCACCGTCAGGCCTACAGAACATTTAAAGTTTTAAGCATCTCTGTTCTGCTATATATGAGAATGGACTTTCCACAGACATCTGCTCATAAAACTGAGACAAGGGATCCTGATGACATGACTTATTTCCAGTGCAAATTAGTTATTAAATAAATGGCTTGGACTTATTGAGAAGGCCACAGAGCACTATAAGATGTAAAGGATAATCAATCCAATATTCGCTACCTAAACTTTTTACAAACTAAGTCACCGATCCACCTGGCATTAATGAGTAGTGGCTCAGGCCTTTAATCCCAGCAATTAGGAGGCAGTGGTAGGTGGCGCGAGTTCCAGGACAACCAGGGCTACACAGAGAATCACGGTCTCAAAACAAAACAGTCACTGATGAGCATATAAATGTACACTTCCTTCTTAATTTATACCTAACTAACCTGTCCCTTCGTTATCTGTACAAACACCAGGAGATACCATGATTATATAAAAATCAAAGGACCCTGACATGTGATTGGCCCACAATGAACCTAGCTTTGATAATGCAGAGCTCAAATTTGAGAAATAATGGGGGCTGCTCTTCTCCTTACCCATGCAGATAGCTTCCCCCTTGGTGGTAATGACCACAATCTCTTGGTTGACCTCAATGCTATCCTCATATCGGAGAACTCCAGGTAGCATGATCTTGGCTCCATAGCAGATTGCATTCACCTATGGACACATGTGAGGACCAAATGTTACATATCCATTATCTCTATTCCACTTTCATACTGGAACAGAGGAAGACTGTAAGGGGGAGGTAGACTGAGAGTAAGAAATAGGAATAACACTGATAGCTCACTGACTACAATGCAGTATGAAGGGACATAGAACAATAACAAACACATATCACGTGCTAGCAACTGCTCTAAAAACTTTAAACATACTTCAAAAAACTAAAGACAACTTTAAAGATGGCTCAGCAAGTCTGATGGCCCAAATTTAATCCCAGAACATATAAAGATGGAAAGAGGAAAGTGACTCCACAAATAATGCTGAGATCCAAACACATTGCAGCATGCATGTTCTCACACACATACATGGGTCACAACACATCCATAATAAGCATAAATGAATAAAATGCATCCCCACCTCCTTCATTATAAACTTTACTTTTATCATGTCCGTAAGTATTGTCATCTATACTATACCAGAACCTGGGGGCCAGAGAGATGGTTCAACAAGTAAGAGTACCTGTTACTCTTGCAGAGGACTTGTTTTCCCAGCACCCAAGTAGCCCTCAACCGTATGAACTCTATCTAGCCTGATCTTTGTAGGAAACAGGTATGCATGTGGCATAGACATACATGAAAACAAAACACTCATACACATAAAACAAAACAAATCCTGTCCAGAGAAATAACTCAGCAGTTAAAAGGTACTTGCCCTGATGTCTGACTACCTGAGTTTGATCACTGAAACCCACATGGTGGAGAGAGTTCTCCTTGACCAACCTCCATTATGTGTGTGCACATACATATAAATAAAAATGTAATTTTTAAAAAACTGAAAACTGCCTCAAAGTTTATCAGCCTTCAAAATGCTCTTAAATCTTTGTCAGGAAAAAATAGTGTACATAATACAAATGACGCAAAAAAAGAGACACCCAAAACCAGGTGTGTTAAATCACATCTACATTTCTATATAGAATTTATTAGCTGTAAATATAAGGACACTTTTCTAGTTAAGTGACCCCCAAAGCATGTTTATACCTTATATCATCTCATTGTTACCCAACAAGATCTCTTAGTGACCATATTCCAACTTCTCTTAAAATTCATCCAGAAGTCAGCAGTCTGACTGCAGCACAAAAAAAGGCACATCACATTTACATGATGATGTGCTTAAGCTTTCTTGGTTGCCCTTAGTGTTCAGACCTTAGTATACTTCTTTAATTTTTTACTTTATTATGAATTACAACATATGAAAGTTTTCAGAAGACTTACACATATTTTTATTCAAATGTACATAAATATCTAACCAAACTGTTACACGTACAAAATTTGTCTTTCACACATCTTATGACTACATAATATGTACTTACATTATTGGGATTATTTCTGATTATAAGGTAATACAGCAAAAATGGGATGAGAGCTGATGATCAGGTCAGCGAATTCTTGATTATATTGTCTCAACTGATAATGTACGTCAATGTACATTAACAAAAGAAAGCATTTCATTGAAATCCCTATAGAGTAAATAACATACCTCTGAAATTCTACAGTCCCAATCTTTACCCATTGAAACAATCATTTATAGTAGCTTAAATGAACCAAGACTATTTTAGGCATAGGCAGAACACAAATTAAAGGAAGTCAAATGTTAGATAGATATCACTGATACTTGAACAAATTTGTTTGGGAAAGACTCATAAGCTAAAGTTACCTTATTTTAAAATACAAGTAGACCTAGCATTAAAATTAAAAGTGACATACATGGTTTTAACTTAATTTAACAATCTATCAGTAATTGTTTCCATTATTAACAGCACAAAGTGAACCTATACAATGGGGAAGGGGACTAACCACAGGGAAAGTAAAATATGATAAATATGATTTCGCAATGCATTTCATCTTTGGTAGCACATTCTGTGCAAACATGGATTCTTAACCCGTAACTTACTGCACTATCTTTCATAACCAGACGTTTATGAGATGTCAACAGCTTTTCCAAAGGGTAAACAACACGCCGCAAATAACTCTCATCCTTATGGTTATCATATAGCCACTGAGCATCGAGTACATCATGCATTGTCACCATGTGGTCCTGAAAAGCAGTCAGATATTAAATTCTATGTCTTCATATTGTATACCCAAACTTTTTACAGTTGAATGTAACTTTACATTGTCTTCTAGTCCAGGCTCACATCATGAGTCTTTAGAATCTCCTTTAAGTTACATGTTGACATATTAGAACCAAACAGACACTCCATATTTTGGTACTGCTTGGAATGGAACCCAGGTGTTTGCAAATGCTTGCTAAGTGCTCTAACACTGAGTCACACCCTCTAGCTCTGAACAAGATTGGTGTAGACTAGGAAGTGTATGAATAGAGTAATACTCTCTACTCAGTCATTTCCTTTAGCCAATTTCAATGTCCCAAAGTTTAATTAACAGAACAAGGAAGCTTCCCTGAACTGAACTCAACACTTTGGAGTCTTTCCTAAGAAGATGTAAAGCAGACAAAGTTCTACCAAGGACACAGAATATGAGTCAGTTCAAAAGCCCTCCAGTCCTGAGTACATCTTTAATCTCAGCACTCAGAAGGAAGAGGCAGGTGGATCTTCTGTGAGTTTAGGCCAGCCTGGTCTACATACAGAGCAAGTTCTAGGACAGACAAGGCCATACAGAGAAATCCTGTCTTTGAAACAAATATAAAAAAACCTCTAGTCTCCTATTTGCATACCTTTTCACTCATGACTCCAGAACGCACCCTCCGAAGTTCCTGCATCTGACCACCAACTCCCAGTAACAAGCCAAGATGTACACATAGTGTCCGAATGTAGGTGCCAGCTTCACAGCTCACCCAAAAGATTCCTAAGATAAACATGAACACACACACACATTCTTGAGTAAATACATGATTTTTACCCTCCAACTGAACCATCAAGATTACAGAAAATCCTAGGCATAGTGGTATCCAACTTTAATCTCAGGAGGCAGAAAATGGTGGATTCAAGGCCAGCCTGAATTACATACATAGGAACTTGCAGAGCAGATATGTAATGGAGAGACCCTACCTGAACTAACAAAAAAGATAAGAGTTAATAACTGGAGCATGTACAACTGTACAACATACTCAAAGTTTCTGTTCCTAATAATAGAATCCTTGAGAATGCAATTGCTTGTGAGTCTAAAGCAATTCAGCTTGATATAAGCCTAATGACCCACCTAATCTTCTTTCAGGATCATATTCTATCATTTTGCTCTCGTAGATAGTCCTTACTCGAAGCTGCCTCTTTACTGCAGCAATCAGTGGGGGTCGCTGAAACAGGGCACCTGTCAGAGTTTCCAGGGCCTAAGAACAAAGCACACACACACACATCATTATGTGGGCTCATTTTTAAATAAGACAAAGAAGTTTAAGGATCTAATTCAAGTACAAAGTTTTCTTTCAAAAATTTTAGGAGCCAAAATGTCCTTTAGTTCAGTTCCCTTTTTTCAACTACTGAGGGATGGCTCAGCACTAATCAGAACTTCCCTCTCAGAAAGACATGGTTGGGCAAACATTACCAGTTGTTCTCCATCCATGAAACTAGAGCAACCCATTCAAATGGCACAAGAGGTACTAGCCAGGAAAAGTTCCAGGAGTTCAGGCACCCAACTTATCAAAGGTATCCTCCCTATACAGACTTACCCTAGAAAGCTGAGTACCCCCTTCAATAGCATTGTGCAGCCGGACAATTCCCACATACTCTTTGCCTGAAAAATGACAAAAGAGTAGTCAGGTGTGGCCACTTAATTTTCTGTTTTATAAATGTTCTATCATTGCCATTTTACATGGCAGAAACAGCAGGGAATCCAACATTATGTTCCAGTACAATCTGTACTGACAGACTTCATGTTGTAGACAGAGAAAAAAAAAAAGATATTTTTTCTTGTGTCAGATACAGCACATGGCAATAACCCACACCCAGCATTTTCGTTGCTGAGATGGGAGGATTGAGATTTCCAGAGCAGCATGAGCTACATAGCAAAATCTTGTCTTAACAAGAAAGGAAGGAAAAGGAACACACACACTTACTTTAATGCCCGATGTGATGGCAGAGACAGATGGAATACCTACTGTAGAGTCTGACTGGAAAAGACCTTGTATTTTAAGCAGAAGTTTCTTAGATGAAAATGAGGGAAAGACACTTGAGACAGAAGCATGACCAGAGTTAAGAAGCAGCAAGCATGCCAGGCAAGGGTGATACATACTTTTAATTCCAGAACTTGGGAGGCAGAAGCAGGTGGATCTTGGGGGCCAGCCTGGTCTAGAGTTCTCAGACAGCCAGGGCTGTACAGAGACAAACAACAAAGAACAGCAACAGCAAGCAGAACTGGACATGCTACAGCACTAAGAACAGACTAGTTGATTCAATATACACAGGTTTAGTGTGTGGAACTCTTAAAAAAGAAACCTCCTGATCTTGGTAGAGAACAGTATTATATGGAAACCAACTCATACTCCTGCTTTAAGGTTTTATTTTCTAAAGAATCAGTTTCCAAGAGCCAAAATGTATTAATGAAACAAGTAGCTTTCCAACATCCCTCTATACTCTCTTCTACATACCTGCACTCTGTTGTGATTTCACCAAACGAGTGGCTCGTTCAATGCACACAATTAAACAACCAGTCACTTTGGGATCCAGTGTGCCACTATGGCCTGTCTTCTCTACCCGAAGTATTCGTCTGATCCAGGCTACCACTTCATGGGAAGAGGGGTTAGAGGGTTTGTCAAGATTAATGAAACCTGTCCTAGAATAAAAAAAGAAGTAATTGTACCACCTGTCCTTGTAGTCTCAAAGACAGCATGAAAAGTTGAAAAGCAAATCACATATATCAGCTATATATTCAGGGTAAAGCTTTTCTAAGTTGCAAATACTTCCTTGAATAACTAATGTGAAAGCATCAGTTTCAAAAGAACTTAAGTTTGGACACAGCTTTTTCATCATGCTTACCTGATATAATCCCCAATCTCCCTCTTCAGAGGATTTGAACCACAAGGAATAGGTGTATAGTGTGTTGTCCTTACATTTAGCTTATCAAAATTCTAGAAAGCAATAATATCACATCACATAACATAAGCTTAATAACACATCAACAGAAATAAAACAAGAGTTAGTAAGTAACACTACCAAGAGCTGAGAAGGTGATGCACACCTGTAATCTCAGCACTCGAGGAGGCAGAAAGAGAGGCAGGCAGTTCTCTGTGAGATCGAGGCCAGCCTGGTCTACAAAGAGTCCAGGACAGCCAGGACTACACAGAGAAACCCTGTCTCAAAAAAAAAAAAAAAAAGAAAGAAAAGAAAAAACAAAGAAACAAATGTACCACCACCATGGTAGCCCTTCAAGCCCATAAATGTATAGTTTTGTTTCCATTATTAACACTATCATTGGTGTAACACACTACTAAGCCTTCTTATATACTGGGGAAATTCCCAATACTAGTGAGAAAAGAACAGATCTGAGTATGTATAATCACTGCTCTAAAGAGACTTGAGGGTACTATAAAGAACAAAACAGCTTTGACTTTCTCAGATCACACGAGCTGAAGACGGCTGGCAACTTTCTTCAGCACGGCCAGCTTGGTTCTGCTCCAGATACCTCTACCTCTGCTCTTCATTTGTCTGTCCCTTTTCAGACTCCTGCGTAAGGCTTAGCCACCAGTTAGAATTCACCAACTGAAGCCCATCTTTCATCATCAGTTTAGTTTCATTATGGCCACTACAAACAGATTTTTTTAATTGTCTCTCCCATCTCTAGCTAAGATTTCTCACAGTGGAGACCATGTCTACCTTGTGTGCTAGCTATTTTTCCAGGGACAACATAAGAAAAATAGATGCCATCCAAATGACTTATAATCAAGCAGAAAATCAACTTGGTTGAATGATATAAACAAACCTCATAATTTTAGCAACACAAACATATGGTTTATTAAAATTCGTGGTCAGTTCAGTGAAATGGTTCAGCAGGTAGGGTACCTGCTGCCAAGCCTGACAATCCAAGTTCAACCTCAGGAATTCACACTGTAGTTGAGAATAGACTTTTTACATGTTATGCTTTGACTTCCACATGCATGTTATGTGGCGCGTGCACCCCCATCCCACCTATACTCCGTAATAAATGAAATAAGAATTTATATTTAAAATGCCTCTTTGTTAAGAGGTCTCAGCTCTATAACTGGTATCCACTTTATGAAAATTGTAAATTTTGGTTCAACCCATTATTGAAACCACCATTTAAACCCCTAAATAACCTATAATTTCTATGACATGCAACTGTAAGGCATGCTTCATAGACTAACTCCGAGCACTTATGATGAGAAAATATGAGCAACTAATAGATTCAGTGAGGTTAATGACTGGCTTAAGGCCACATACAATCTTGATTCAAAGGCATCTAACTGGCTTCAAAACTCCTGGGTACTGAAACAGTCTACAGGAGTTGATTTCAGAAGTGCAACTGGCTAAAAACTGATAACAATTAACATTTTGGAGACATACTGTATTACAGAACAACATTGGACAAATTACAAATTTAAAAAATAACTGAGTCCTTCATCTCAGATACATTGAAAAACTGTCTTAATGCAACATCATTTGGAAGTTTTCTAAATGTAAAACATGCTGGCAGTAAGCATCCTTTATTTTTATTTCTTTTTTGGAAGACAGGGTCTCTCTACGTAACCACTGGAATTAAAGGCATGCACCATCATGCCATAGCCCAGCAGTAAGCATTAATTAACTGTTTAATTATGAAATTCAAGCATTCATCTGATTCACAGAGCACATACCTTTAGTAACAAGGGCCACTGAGAAGTATCCAATTGAGCCACTTTGGATTCTGGTTTAATAAGAAATTCTTCAGCATGTTGTATTTCCTTCAATAGAGCAGAAATATATTATCTTCCCTTTTAATTTTGGAAGTACATGCCTTTTAAACAAACAAAGGATGTGATTTCCTGAAACCGAGGTCACTGGGACCTCTAAAAGAGAATTGAAAAAGCTTATTCAAATTTAGGTAGTCCAAATATCTTAACAAAAGCATGGGTCTGTTGGTGGAATAGGGGAAAGAAGTTCAGGGCGAATATTTTACCATTTAGTATGCCATACATGATAGTAAATTTCTCTTGGGAGTTGTTATTTCAGGGTTTTGCTGGGTCTATATAATGACCAGTAAGTGCCAGCATATCGTTTGGGAATATTTTAAAGCATTTTTGTCTCGGTCAAAGCAAAATAAAATATTCCTACTCACAGCTACATCTTCTTCTTGTAATGGCTTCCGATCTTTTTTCTTCTTATGCTTCTTTGGGTAAGTAATTACTACAAGAAACAAACTCAAGATTTGGAGATTTCTTTGAAAACTAAACTCAAAAGTTTAAAATTAAGTCTAAAATCAGGACAGACAAAACAAAGTATTTTTAAGTTTGGCATTACTGGAGAAAACTTATGGTTGTGAGGCCAAATACTAGGATGGCTTGGCTGGTAAATGACTCTAGCACGTGTTTGCTTCCCTCTTAGGTTCTCCACGTGGCTGCGGCAAGGCCAAATATACTTGGGGAAGCGCTTGTCCACAGGCTGGAAAGTTCCACAAACGACCACTACACTGTCCATCAGGGCTTGTGGTCTCTTAAAATTTTTTCCAAGTCCGAGTTACACTCGCTCCCAACTCCTCTCGCCCTTTCCTTCCCCACCCTTCCTCTGCCTGCACCTTTCTACCCTCATTTCAGTATGTCCTCTCTAGTGGTGGCAGAAATGCTACCCGTCTTCCTTATCACGAGTCACCACCACAGCTTTAGAAGGGGACCCGGGTGGAGTCTTTTGCGCAAGGCCTGGACCTAATGAAGCCTGTTCAGTGGAGGGTTGGTTCTGTAACTTGTGCGTTAGCCAGTAGAGCCAGAGCCGAGAGCCTAACTGCGGGCAGGAACGCGCAGAATCGCGCGGGTCACGACGCAACCTCACTACCACTAACTCCCAGCTCGGTGGGAAGCCACGCAGGTCTCAAGGCATGATCACCTAAACCCCTTACCTTCTGCATCCGCCATCCTGCACTGCACCGCGTGCGTCCAACCCAAATGGCCACAAGCTAAGAACTGCAGACTCCTACTGAGACCAGTCGGGCCCTGCCTCTAGGACCCACCCACCGTTGCTACCTCAGACAAGAAAAAGGAAGTAGCTGAGAGGACGCCTGGAGGGGGGGTGTGGAAGGGAGGAGTCTCGAGGAACGCGCGGGCTGTCTGCTCAACTCCATTGGCTGACTCGGCCACTTAGGAGCATATACGCATGCGTTTAGCAACATAACCCCCCCCACACCCTCCACCCCCACCCGCTAGTTCCTAGCGCGGGATGGAACCTTTGAGTGGCAACCGCAGGCGCAATCTGCTTGGGTGGGCGTGGCCTCTGCTGTGCCCTCCTCTTGATTTCAGTCTTCGGGTTCAGCTTGGACGTCCTATTTAACGCTCTATAAATAGTTAATGTTAACTCACATCGACATTTTCTGTTTGTTGTCATGTCAGTTTCAATTGAAAAAGACATTAAGGTACAAAGACTGTGAAAGTGAAAGCTGTTAAGTCCTTGAACCCCTAGCAAGGTGTGGCTGTTTGGCCAATAAGAATTGAGTGCAAGCCTCGGGTAGACTTTAAATTTTTCTAGTAGCTACTCAAAATAAAATGGATGAAAGTGATTCCAGTAGTTAATTTTACACAACCCTGCACATCTGGAATGTTATTTTAACATTCAAACAATATGACGCAATATGTAATATTTTACTTTTTTTGCATGAAGTTTTTCCAGTGCGTTTCACACTTTTAACCGGTACACCTCAGTTCGAATTCTACGGGATATCAAGTGCAGCTCCTGTGGCTGCAATATGTAACAGCCAGGAAGTAACAGCTCCTGGCTGTTACTGAGCCCTGAATTTTGTCTGGTAGGTTCTTCTGGCTGTTAATCCCAGCTACTGCCTTTCAGGTTAAATCTCTGGAATATCCTCCTCCACCCTATTTCCTGTTCTACCTCTGTAGATTCTTTTGGCTTCTTGATACATTACCTAACTCTAGTGAATTTCATAGATTATTAGTTATCTAATACTTCATTGTAGACGGAATTGTTTGCCAATGGTTTTCCAGTTAGTTGCTGATGACAAAAAAAAAAAAGTATTCCTATTCTGCCAAGATCAGATTTTTTTTTTCCAGCTTTGTTTTACTATGACTTAAATTGGGATTTTCAAACCCAGTTGTTTGTCTCGAATTTATTTTGGTAATAATGGTAATGATCAGAATTGACTACTCACAGATAAGATCCTTAAATTAACTATTATAAATGCTCCAGTAGTAAATATTTGGCTGAGTAACTCTGAAGTACTTATTTGCCATTGTTCACTGGCTTCATCTTTGTCCTATATCTATGCTCAAATCTTTTAGGAAAGATTTTTTGTTTTCAGAGAATTCCTGAACCTGATGGGTTTTCTTCACCTTTACTTCTCTCACCATCATTATAATATCTCTATTTCTCCAGTGGCCTCCTGCAGACTCACCTATTTCTACTTTTCCTAAACACATTGTCTTAACATAGCAGCCTGGAAGTGCCACTAAACTCAGGGTCAGCCTGTGTTAAAAATACTTTTTAAGGGCCGGGCTGTGGTAGTGCACACCTTTAATCCCAGCACAGAGGCAGAGAAGGCGGAGCTTTGTGAGTTCAAGGCCAGCCTAGTTTACAGAGTCAGTTCAAGAACAGCCAAAACTCCACAAAGAAGCCCTGTCTTAAAAAAAATAATAATAATTTTTAAGGGTTTGTGATAAGGTTCGATTGACAGTGGAGTGTTTGCCCAACATAACCAAGGTTTAGCCTTAGGCTTGAAAAATAGGCAAAGATTGAGTACTTTCAGACTTTGTTGTGTCTAGATCACAAGACCCCAAAAGACCACCAGGAGTTGAGTCTGTTACAAAACACATGAGGATCTTTTTATTACAAGCTATAGTTTGGGCTCACACCCTTACTGCCTCATTGGTTGAGAGTCAAGAGCCTTGTGCTCAGGTTAGGTGATTGATTTAAAGAGTCCGGTCCCTCCCAGCACCCCAAACCAGGAGAATTCCTGCCTGGCAATCGTCTTTTGGTTGAAACACCAAAGGGGATGTTGCATTTTGAACTGATTAGCTATAGGAAGGCCCCCCAAACCATTAACTGTCTGGCTTCCCTTGTTTGGCTGTCCTAGGCGAGAGAGGGGCTACCTGGGCCAGTTTCCTAGCAACTGTATCTCTAGTGGGCAGTAAAGAATGCAGTAAGGCTGGCTCCTCCCCAAAGGTGACTGGACATGTCTTCACCTATCTGGCCTTTGTTCAGGCTTGTGCTTTAAACCTTAATTCAATAATTCAAAAAACTAATTTTTAATTCTTTGGTCTCTCAATTTCTCCTCTTAAGTGTTGTAGAAGACTGAATTTCTGGGGTTTAAGGCATGGTGGCAAACATCTTTAATCCCAGCACTCAGAAGGCAGAGGCAGGCAGGTCTTTGTGAGTTTGAGGCCAGCCTGATCTATAGAGCAAATTCCAGGACAGACAGAGCCACAGAGAGAAACCCTGTCTAAAATAAGTCACTTGTTATAGAGTATCACTTTGTAGCCCTGAGTATCTTGGATGTTGGTTTATAGATCAGGCTAGCCTTGAACTCAGAAATCTGCCTGACTCTGCTTTCAAAGGCATGTGTTTAAGGTTTATTATAGAAATGTTTTAAAAATGGTGTTGTGATCTTCAACAAATGGTGCTGGTCCAACTGGATGTCTACATGTAGAAAAATGAAAATAGATCTATACGTATCATCCTGCACAAAACTGAAGTCCAAGTGGATCAAAGACCTCAACATAAAACCAGACACATAAAATCGGCTAGAAAAAAAAGTGGGGAATACCCTAGAACTCATTGGCACAGGGGACAACTTCCTGAACAGAACACCAACAGCACAGGCTCTAAGAGCAACAATCAATAAATGGGACCTCATGAAACTGAAAAGCTTCTGTAAAGCAAAGGACACTGTCATCAAAACAAAACGACTGCCTACAGATTGGGAAAGAATCTTCATTAACCCTTTATCTGACAGAGGGCTAATATCCAGCATATATAAAGAACTAAAGAAGCTGAAAAGCAGCAAACCAAGTAATCCAATTAAAAAATGGGGAACAGAGCTAAACAGAGAATTCTCGAAAGAGGAACATTGAATGGCAGAGAAACACTTAAAGGAATGCTCAACCTCATTAGCCATTAGGGAAATGCAAATCAAAACAACCCTGAGATTTCACCTTACACCCATCAGAATGGCCAAGATGAAAAACTCAAGTGACAATACATGTTGGAGAGGTTGTGGAGAAAGGAACCCTCCTCCACTGCTAGTGGGAATGTAAACTTGTACAACCACTCTGGAAATCAATTTGGCGCTTTCTCAGACAACTAGGAATAGAACTTCCTCAAGATCCAGCCATACCACTCCTAGGCATATATCCAAAAGATTCTCAAGTACACAATAAGGACATTTGCTCAACCATGTTTGTATCAGCCTTATTTGTAATAGCCAGAAACTGTTAACAGCCCAGATGCCCCTCAACTGAAGAGTGGATGCCGAAATTGTGGTACATCTACACAAGGGAGTATTACTCTGCAATGAAAAATAAGGAAATCATTCAATTTGCAGGTAAATGGTGGGACCTGGAAAGGATCATCCTGAGTGAGCTGTCCCAGAAGCAGAAAGACACACATGGTATATACTCACTCATATAGACTTATAGGATAAACCTAAAATCTGTCCATCTAAAGAAACTAATCAAGAGAGAGGACTAAAACGCTCAATCCCCATCCCGAAAGGCAAAGAGGATGGACATCAGAAGAAGAAGAAAGCAGGAAACAACCTAGGAACCTGCCACAGAGGGCCTCTGAAAAGCTCTGCCCTGCAGACTATCAAAGCAGACGCTGAGACTCTATGGCCAACTGTTGGGCAGAATGCATGGAATCTTATGTAAGAAGTGGGAAATAGTAGGTTATGGAGAGGACAGGAACCCCACAAGGAGAGCAACAGAACTAGAAGATTTGAACACAAGGGGTCTTCCCAGAGACCCATACTTCAACCAAGTACCATGCATGGAGATAACCTAGAACCCCTGCGCAGATGTAATCCATGGCAGTTTAGTGTCTAAGTGGGTTACATAGTAATGGGAAGAGGGACTGCCTCCGACACAGTCTGATAGGCCTGCTCTTTGATCACCTCCCCCTGAGGGGAGAGTAGTCTTACCAGGCCACAGAAGATGACAATGCAGGCACTTCGGATGTGATCTGATAGACTAAGATCAGAAGGAAGGAGAGGAGGACCTCCCCTATCAGTGGATTGGGGAGGGGCATGCATGAAGAAGGGGGAGGGAGGGTGGGATCGGGAGGGGAGGAGAGAGGGGCTTATGGGGGGATACAAAGTGAATAAAGTGTAAATAATAATAATAACAATAATTTAAAAAAAGAAAAAAAAAACTAAAAAAATGGTGTTGTGGTTATGGTTGTCAAAGACTGGGAGTTAGACTCCCCGGTAGGCACATTAATAAGGAAAGGGTTATGGCTAGGTAATGGTGAATTTCCAAGGTGGCCATCTTCTTGTCTCCCCTTCCTGGCTGGAGACAAAAGCCTGACAGCTTAAAACAAAGGTATTGTAGGTTTTTGTCTCCCACCAGCAGCGCCCCCTTCTGATGCACTGGTCAACAGATTTAAGGCCAGATCAGGACATGGCACATGACAGTTTTTCTGAGACTTAAAAGCCCTGGAGAAGAGAGTGGATTTTTGAGTTTTCCAATGTCTCCCTCTCCCCTGGTTTGCAGGTCTTTTTCTCTATGTTCTCTGTACCTCTGGTGCATGTATTTCCTCACTCAACAAATACCTTTTTTCAGCTGCTGATTCTGTCTGCCAGGGCATGAGATTTGTTTCTGCTGCTACCTGTTGTGTTCCAGATTTCAAGCTCCATTATACTCTTTTGTGTGTGGTATATGCAAGGATGCATTCACTCATGTGTGTGCATGAAGGAACCAGAACAAGACATCAGATGTCTTCCTCTATCATTCTCTGTCTTAAGGCTTTGAGATAGGCTCTCTCATTGAACCAGCAGTGTCCCATTTCAGCTTAGCTGGCTAGCCAGAAA